TGTAACAGTTAAAACCGAGCTGTTGTTCCTGGACTGAGGGATGACAAAGAGCCCCAACAAGTGCCAGTGTAGACTGCGGGGCAGGACAGACACGTTCAGCCCTCCCCCGCCCCTGCCCCCCACTGCAGGCTCCCAGGCACTGAGCCCGTCATGGGCTACGCAGTCTGAGTGTGCAATGTGTCATCCTGCCACTGAGTGGCTCATCTGTGTCTGAGGGATCAGTGGGGACAATCAGAACTTCTGGGCAGATTGAGACCACCTTCCCCCAACAGGGTCCGAGCACAGACTCTGGCCACATCACCCTGATGTCTGATGTCTCAAGTGGCCTTGACAAAGCATCAGACCAGGTGGCTTGACCCCTCCTGAGGCCTCTGAAGGGCATGCAGACGGCGTGTCATCCCGTGTCCTCACGCGGTCGTTCTTCTGTGCGGTCTGTGTCCCGGTTGCCTCTTCCTATAAGGATGCCAGTGACCTCGTTTTATCTCCATCACCTCCTCAAAGACCTGTCTGCACATACACACCTGTTCCGGAAGGGGCTGGGGGCCAGGCTCCCCCATGTGGATTTGGGGGAAACAGTTCAGGCTATCACAGCTGGGGAGCAGGCTGAATGAAGAGAAGCACTGATGCTGTTTGCACTCAGGGCACAGGAGTTCCAGGATGAGATTTTCTCCACTCCTGTGCCTGATGTCTCTCTCGTCAGAGCTCCTTCCTTCCAAGTTCACTGTCAGCTGCCCTCTGAGAGGCACCTCCAGCTCGGTGGCCACAGAGCTCATGGGTCCCCCAGCGCCCTGTCCTGACACGCGGTCAAGTGCCAACAAACAGTTCTTTTTTTTTTATTAATTTTTTTAAATGTTTTATTTATTTCTGAGAGAGAGAGAGAGAGACAATGTGAGCAGGGGAGGGTAAGACAGAAAGGGTGATATGGAATCTGAAACAGGCTCCAGGCTCTGAGCTCTAAGCACAGAGCCCGACATGGGGCTCGAACCCACAAACCGTGAGATCATGACCTGAGCCGAAGTTGGACGCCCAACCAACCGAGCCCCCCAGGAGCCCCTCCAAAGGGGTATGAAAACCTCCAGGGGCTTCCGCTGCCCCCAGGACCCAAACCAACCCCCCCACCCCCATTGGGCCCTGGCTGTCCCTGCACATCCCCCACTTCTGAGTGTCACAAACCAGTCTCCACGTGGGATGAGCTACTGGCCACTGCGTCTCTCCCAATGCAGTGGCCCCGGCCCCTGTCCTTCTCCAATGCCATGCGAGCAGTGGCGCCCCCACCAAGATACAGCAGCCTCAGCCCCTCTCCTCACCGCACAAAGCCAGTCATGGCCACTGGGATAGACGGGAAGATCCCATGTGTTAAACCTTTAGCTTGCCGCCCACCACAGAGCGGGGCGGCCAGGATGGGGCTGCCAACAGAAATAAAGAAACGGGAGCCCAGTGGCCATCGTAGTGACCAAGCACACTGGGGCAGAAGGCACTCGTCTCTGACCTCAAGGGCAGAGGGCTGACAGCCACTCTCGTGTCAGAGCCACCTCCATCATGGTACCGCTGTGAAAGATGTTCTCCATGCGACCTTCCTCCCGAATGATGCTCAGAGCAGTACCAGCCGAGCCCTGCAAGGTCCTGGCGCCTCTAGACCAGGAAGCACGGTGGCCAGTGGGTTACGGGATCTGACTGAAGGTGGCAGGGACTCCATGTTCCTTACGGTGAAAATGAATAAATACAGGATACTATCTCAGCGGGTGAGTGTCTGACTCTTGACCTCAGCTCAGGGCCTGATCCCACGGCCGTGAGTTCGAGCCCCGCATCGGGCTCCGTGCTGTAACCTACATAACCCTCTCCAACTTGGGGAGGAAGGAGCCTCACTGTTGCTGGTCTCTCCGGACTCACCTACTGGCCACCTGACCTACAGTCTCTATAGGCACGTCGTGCACTGCTCTTCCTGACTCCTCACTCAGGGCGCCACATGGTCACCCAAGAATCACTATCCACACCCCCCAAGAGGAAAGAGGAAACAGGGCATACACCCCAGTGCCCTTGGCTAACCCACGTCACAGCTACGACAGGGCATGACTGGCAGCTTTTTAATGTGGAGGGAAAAGAACAGAATGTAAAAATCAGAGCGTACTGCTTAGATTAAGTACCATTTCTTTCCATTTTCATTTCAGGTATACAAATATTTACACACACACACACACACACACATGCCCATGGAAAAGGCTCTCTGACAGCTGGAGAGATGAAAGTATAAAGCACTGGTCCAAGGGCGCCTGGGTGGCTCAGTCAGTTAAGCGTCCGACTCTTGATTTCAGCTCAGGTCATGATCTTGTGGTTCATGGGTTCGAGCCCCATATCACGCTCTGTGCTGACAGCTCAGAGCCTAGATCCTGCTTCACATTCTCTGTCTCTCTTTCTCTCTCTCTCTCTCCAAAATATAAACATTTTAAAAATTAAAAAAAAAAAAAAAAACCAAGAAAGAAAAGACAGGGCTGTACCTGAGGCCACTTTGTATGAAACCCACTCTGTTCTATTTATTCCCTGGCAGCTCACAGACTCCCATTCTGAGGAAATAAATAGGCCACATTAGAACAAGCCTGAATAACTGCGTGACAAAACACCAGGACAACGATCTGAAGACCTGAAAAAGCCTACCAATCCACTTTTTTAAAGGTTAAATCTGGGGGCGCCTGGCTGGCTCAGTCAGTAGAGCATGCAACTCTTGATCTCAGAATCAGGAGTTCAAGCCCCATGATGGGCCTACGGCTTACCTTTTAAAAAAAATAAAATAAAAATAAAAAATAAATGTTAAATCTGCATTTTCTGACGGAACTAATTTGAAGATGTGTTATTTTAATTTTTTAACATTTATTTTTTTTATAATATTTTATTTATTTATGAGACAGAGATAGAGAGAGCCTGAGCAGGGGAGGGGCAGAGAGAGAGGGAGACACAGAATCCAAAGCAGGCTCCAGGCTTTGAGCTGTCAGCACAGAGCCTGACGCAGGGCTTGAACTCACGAACCGTGAGATCATGACCTGAGCTGAATTCCGACGCTTAGCCAACTGAGCCACCCAGGTGCCCCTGAAGAGAAAATTTAAATGTCCAAATTGTACCTTCATAAAACGATCAGATCGTTACTTATGCTATTTTAACCTGAATTTGTGTGCCAGTTTTAAAATAGATTAATCTGGTAAATTTACCCCAACGAGAACAATATAAGCACCAAGTTTCATGAGCTGGAGGTGACCTCACACTGTATGGAGGAGCAGAGCAGAATACCTGGCAGAGAGCAAGAGAGAAAGTGTACTAAGTGATGGCCTGGATGGAAAAAGAGCAGGGCAGAGGCAGAATACAGAGAAACAAAGAAGCCTGGCTTAGGCAACTATGTAACAAGAGATTATCTTCTGTAAGAGACAATGAAATTCATCTTTACCCTCTATCCCTAAATCTCAACACACACCCCAACTCTAAACTTCCTGAGTTTTGCTGGCTTTTCACTTCTATTTCAAAAACTCAGGAATGCCTCACTGATTCCCCATCCCCTCTCAATACTGCTGAATATTCTACACTTTCTACCAAACCTGGTAGAAGTCTCTAGAAAGGAATCAGTCTATCCCATGCTTCCCCATCACAGGAAGGTGAGCATCCGTTGGAAGGGACTGACCCTCCTAACCAGCACCATCTGGCCTGAGTGTGGAAGATGCGCCAAGGCCAAGACTGGTGCTGTGCTGGGACGCAGCTACACTGGCAGCCAAGACCACTGGGGACAGGCCATCTCCTGGGTGCGTCCCGACCCACCTGCTGCCTGCCTGTAACACAGAGGATGGAGTCGACTGGCTTTCTTCTGGAGCTTTTCCCCCCTATGGTGGGCAGAAGTCTGGCACTTGCAGGCTGAATCACTTTCTTGGACTGTTTTCCAGACTCAACCCATCTCTGTAGGTAACTATAAAACCAGACTCACAGTCACAACAGAACTCAACCACCCAGAGAGAAAGTCGGGAGAAGCCCCCCACGGCCCCCTGAAGACCACCCAGAGACTGGACCTCGAATACAGCCTTTTTAAAATGGGCACCTCGTAAAGCAAGGTGCTGCAGACCAGTCATGGAAGGGCACAGCAGGCCGTGGCCAGCTCCCGCTGCGGAGATCGGAGGACCCACCAAGGGCTGTGTTAAATTCCCGCAGGTAAGTGGACACTGGTGAAATTCTGCACGTGACAAATACCCTATCACTGAGACCCATTTTCCAGCTTATCCCGCTTAGTTATGTCTCCTTAAAATGTTGAGTGTACCAACGACTCCAGCCTATAATTAAAGCCACACTTTTAAAACTGCATGAACTAAGTAAGGCGCCTCCTGAACTATGGCCGAAATGCAAGTGCCAAATGTAGCGTCACTGAAATCGCTCGGCTAGAATCAGAGCAAACCTCACCCGGCGAATGGGCTGCCTTTGCCTCGACCCGCAGTTCGCTGGGAGCCCGTGTTCTGGGCTGGCCGACCACCACCGTCCCCAAGACTCCCGCCCCATAAAACTTAGGATCGGCTCTCCGGCAGCCCCCGGTCGCTGACCCGCGGGGATGGCCATGTGCAGAGAGCCCGGCTTTCGGGGGGGGGGGGGTCACTGGCCGGAAGGGGAGGAAAGGCGTGGCCCCTTCCTACCCGCCGCGCGGCCCGGACCGAGGACCACCTAACCGCATTGTCCGCGAGGTCGCCGCCCGCCCCCGTCCGCGCGCACCGGCCCCCGCGGCCCTGTCCCGGGCCCGACCGCGCGGCGCTCCAGCTCCCGCCCGGCCCGCCGGCCACGCTCCCCGCGACCGCCCGCGCCCCCCGACCTCTCCACGCCCGACTTCCAATCAGACTTCCTCGCGCCCCGCGCCGGCCGGCCGAAGCGCGGCCCCGAGGGACTCTCCCTGCCCAGCCCCGGCGCTAGCCCCTCCGCCCGGCTCCGGGGTCCAGCCCGCCCCCCGCCCGGCCCCCGGGGGGCGCGCGCCCGAGCACGCTCACCTTCTTGCCCTTCTTGCCCTCCTCGTCCATGTCGCCGCGAGCGGCCCCCGCGGCCCGGCCCGCCCCGGGAGCCCCGCGTCGCCCGTGGCCGCTACATGCTCGCCTGGCCCCGCGGCCGCCGCCACCGCCGCCGCTCCTGCGCCTCCCGCCCGCGCGGCCGCAGTTTCCGGCCGCGGCCGCCAGGGGACGTCCGCGCCCCGCACCCCGCACCCCGCACTTCCGGGCCGAGGCGAGGCCCCGCCCCGCGCCCCGCCCCGCGTCCCGCCCCCACCCCTCGGGGCCACCGGGGACGCGCCCGACGCGCCCCACCCCTTCGCGACCGCGGGAGCGCGCCTATCACTCCCCTATCCCGCCCACGCCCTTCAGGGAGGGCGGGAGCGCACCTGCCCCGCCCCCAGCCCGGCCTTCGCCCCTCAGGGTCGCAGGCCCGGTTCCAACTTTTCGATTCTGCCGCCATCTTTAGGGCAGCCAACTTCCCGACCTGCCTCGCGCCGGGGAAGAACGCGCTCAAACCGACTGGAAACGGGGGGCGGGGCCGGGGAAGGAAGAGGGGCTAGTCACAAGCGGGGGCGGGGCTGGAGGGAAGGGGTGGGGCCTGAGGGAAGGGGCGGGCTATCAGGACGGTGAGTGAGGGGCGGGCACTAAGGTAGAGGCCAGGTAGGGAGAAGAGGCTGACCTAGTGGGAGGAGCGGGGCTGTCTGGAAAGTGCGGAGCAGGTAGGAAAGTGGGGACCAGAAGGGGAGGGGGCGAAGTTAGCAGGAGAGGGAGGGCATGGCTTGTGAGGTGGGGGCGGGACAGGCGGGGTAAGGCGAAGCTAGCTAGAAGGGGCGTGGTTTGCAGAAAGGTGAGGGCGGGGCCTTTGGGAAGGGGCGAGGCAGGAAAGTTGGGAAGGGAAGGAGGCGGGGCTGGCAGGAAAGGAAGGGTGGGCCTGTGAGGTGGGGGCGGGGCCGGAGGGAAGAGGTGGAGCCCGAGAGGAGGGGTGGAGCTAGCGGTAAGGGCGGGCGTGGCTGGCAGGAAGGCTGGGGCGGGCCACGTGAGATGAGGGTGAGCCGGCGGGTGGGCGGGGCTAGCGGCGAGGGAGGGCGTGGCTGGCAGGAAGGGGCGAGGCCGGCAGGAAGGTGAGTACAGGAAGGGGAAGGGGGCAGCGCTGGTAAGATACTGGACCTGCAGGATGGGTGGGCGGGGCCAACGGGGATACGAAGGCGTGGCTGGCGGGAAGGGAGATGGGGGCTGGGGGCGGGGCCAGCGAAAGGGCTGGGCGGGACCAGCGGGGCGAAGCCACTTCCTTTGTCTTTCTCAATCTGTGCCTTAATTCCGTTGGCTTCAGCCTTGACCCTGTCTACGACTTCCTCTGCCCCAGTGCCTGTGTTGCTCAGACAAGCTCTCAGAAGGGTGGAGATGCAGGTGGAGATGCCTGGGCCCTCTCAGAACAGTCACCTTAATAATAGTCAGTGACAGACGGTGACCTTCAGGATCACCAGGGTAACTGCCGCCTTTTACAGACAAGTTTGGAGAGTCTGATGGTTTCCCCACCACGCTGCAAGTAGGAGCCAGCAACAGGCCATTATTTTGCCTCTAAGCGAAGCTGCCATCAAGAGCCTTGGAGCGCAGGGGTTCCTGGGTGGCTCGGTGGGTTAAGCGTCCAACTTAGGCTCAGGTCATGATCTCACAGCTCGTATCTCATTGGTTCTGGCCCGGCATCTGGCTTTCTGCTGGCTTTCTGCTGTCAGCGTAGAGCCCGTTTTGGATCCTCTCTGTCTCTCCCCAGCTCACACCCTCTTTCAAAAATGAAAATAATTTTTTTTTAATTTAATGTTTTAAGAACTTTGCACCACAGCTAGAATGTAAACTGACACCAAACACACCATTACTTATCTCCACTGATGTTGTCGCATCCTGCGCCAGTTGTCAGTGTTAGCTCCAGCTCCGCATTCACTCTCATTTCATGCCCTGCGGGGTGGAGCTGGGCCCTCTGACCAGGTGGGCCAGGGTAGAGGTGTGTCAGGGAAGAGCCCCCTGAGAGGCGATGCCCGAGGTAGGGGCTTTGCTACCGGGCTCCAGGGAGCTAGCTCCCTTGGCAGCTGCAGAACAAGAGGCCTCCCCCGCGCCCAGCTCCCTGCACCGAGGACGACTTCTCCCAGCTCCGGGTTCCGTGGGCACCTGATTCCGCGGTGCAGGCTGCCAGCGCACTCCTCCAACTCCTGCGGTATATCCGCGAGCCAGCGCAGGGTGAACAGCTTTCCCGGCATTCCGGAGGGACTGGCAGGGCGTCCCGCCAGGGCTTCTCCGCCATTTGGTGAGCTGTAGCTCACCTGGGCCCTCTCCAAGCAAGTTGGATCTCAGCCCTGGGGGTGAAGGGGTCTCTTCCTCCGCCCCCGGGGGCTTTATCTCAGCCCTCAGAATAGCAGCTCCGCCTTCTATCTACTATTCTCTTATTCTTCGGAGTTCTCTTTAGTGTCTGGCCGATACTTTGGACCCTACTTGAGACAGATACCAACTAACTAGCTGGTCCCTAGAACCCTCACACGTAGGTACTCCAGGCACATAGAGCAGAGCTGGGGGGAAAAAATCTTCAGTCTTCCTTCTGCGGCATTTAGTAGCTACAGCTGCAGACCTGAACAGTGCAGCGCGTGGCTCCCACCCCAGCACGAGGTCGGGTGTTCTTCCACCAACGTACCTTTCTATATACTTCTCATCGGGCCGTGCAGCACATAACACGGCTAACACTAGACGCGCAAGAGCTTTCCCTACACCCAGCAATTCTGTGACATCGGCTGGGTGTCCCACCCTGTAACTCACTCTGGCACCATCCACTCGGGACGGCTGCGGGGGAGGGCTCCCTCCCATAAGACCCCCCCAATTAAGATGCCAACCATGAGTCCAAAGTGGTACCTGTGCTTCTAAACCAATTGGCTCTGAATCGGGGTTCCCATGCCCCTCCCTCGGATGCAATAACTTGCTAGAGCGGCTCATAGAACTCAGAAAAAGAGGTTACGGACTGTTTACCAGCTTATTAGAAAAGGATATGACAAAAGCTACAGGTAAGGAGCCAGATGGAAGACATGCCTGGAGCAGGTAGAGGGACTGGCACACGGGGGTTCAATGCCTCCCCAGGTCACCACTCCACCAGCAACACCATGTGCTCACCAAACCCAGAGCTCTTTGGACCCAGGGAAATAATGAGGACCCACCAAATGAGGATGAGCAAAGGCTATTTGTTAAGAGCCTACGATAGTGAGGGAGTCACTCCATCACCTGGTTTGACAGAGGCCCGGAGGCAGGCAGGGTGGGGGAGAGCTTCGTGGTGGTAAAGGGGGACTCAGGGGTGCCCTGATGGGGGGCTGTGGGCCTGAGGGAGCCAGAGGTGAGCTCCACAGAAGTGGGGTATCCTATGTGTTTGGTTTTCTCTGGTTGGTTCTGATTTGGACCCAGGAACAAAAATGAGGTAAGATGTCAGTTATTGACTGAGTCCTGGCCATCTGGCTTAGTTGGACTGTCCACAGGGTATTGTGTGGCTTTCTTGGTTGTCACCAGAGCCAGCAGTGTGAATCGCTCCAAGTCTGACTTTGAGCAGCTGGCTTCCTGGGTGGGCCTCTGCAGAGGACGGATGGGTTTGGGCAGCCTGCTACAGGCCATGGGCCTATTTTCATAAATGATCTGGCCACTGGCCACTGGTACATTCAATGTCTCTTAATAGGCAGTGATGAGGCAGTGCAGTCATAACGAAAATATTTCTCCCAAGGTCACCACTCGGCTGCAAAGTGTTTTGACAGCCTCTTCCTGCTTACCAGTAACCTCCATAGCCTGCTCTGTGGCCCCACCTCATGAACAAAAATATCGGAGACCCAGTTACTAAGTGGTCCACACTTCGGGGCAACAACAATCTGGAGCTGGCCCTCACTTCCCCTCTCCCTGCCTGAGAATTCTTTAGTGCAAACCCCAAACCTTACAAAATTCCTTTTCTACTCTTGTCATGAGACACGATGCAGAAGTTTCTAGAATTCTCTCTTTGCAGCAGGTTAATAAGCCAGACCTGGTTTGTCCCTGGTGGACTTGGCTATTGGGCTTTTTCACCCAGCTCAAGTATCTCCTCTTCCACTGAGTCTTTGAATGCAGTTTTTCCCTCCTCCAGCCCCCGAACACATTCTTTGTGTGTCCTGACGCTAGAGTTCATGTTAGGACATTTCCTCTACTAGACTGTAAGGCCCTTTAAAGACTGTGTGGGATTCCTCTTCATAACTGAGAAGCTCAAATGAGACAACTGACGTGCATCTGACCAGACATAGATGGAAAAACACTGACGTTACCTGGACACAGTCTCCCCCAGCTAGACTCTCGAGTGTTCAAGATTGATCTTCAGTTGTCCTGCTCAAAGACAGTTTCCGTGTACTCACATCTTGGCTAGATTCCAGCTAATTGGTGTGGAGTTTGTTTGTTTATTTACTTTGAGAAAGAGAGAGAGCACATGCACACACACATGCACTGGAGCAAGGGAGGAGCAGAGACAGAGAAAAGGAGAGCGAGAATCCCAAGCAGGCTCCACACTGTCAATGCAGAGCCTGATTCGAGGCTCGAACTCACGAACCATGAGATGGTAACCTGAGCTGAAACCAAGAGTCAGGTGCTCAACCAACAGAGCCACCCAGGTGCCCCTCACTCCTTTTTTTTAGTGAATCTTTTCACTGTTCCTGAGGCTGACTCCAGTGTTTTCTTTCTTGTCCCTCTCTCCCATCCAGAATCTCCCTCATGAGACTAAACAGCACATAACTAACAAGAGATCTCCAAGTGGTCCTCGGACACGTGCCCAGCACCTCGTACCATGCTGTGCCCATCACAAATCCAATGGTTTGGCTTACTCAGTGAGGAAAAAAATTTCTTCAAATCACTTTGAGTGAATTCTCTTTGCAATTCCGAGTTTCCAGACCTGTAAATGATAACAGGCCAAACCAACTCTAGACTGTGAACATCCCTGTGAAGTACAGCCACCCTGTGTGGCCTCCATGGGAGACGCCGCCCGCTCCTCCTCGATATTTCCTTGCCTGTACTCCTTATGTATTCTTCCAGAGCCAAATTGCTAATATTCTTTCCAGGCATATATCCCAGTTGGCTTGGAAGAATAATGGAGTTATTCTTTGG